CCCAGGAATTCCACTTCTAGGAATTTACCCTAAGAATGCAGCACTCCAGTTTGAAAAAGACAGGTGCACCCCTATGTTTATCGCAGCACTATTTACAATAGCCAAGAAATGGAAGCAACCTAAATTTCCATCAGTAGATGAATGGATAAAGAAGATGTGGTACATATACACAATGGAATATTACTCAGCCATAAGAAAAAAACAGATCCTACCATTTGCAAGAACATGGATGGAGCTAGAGGATATTATGCTCAGTGAAATAAGCCAGGTGGCAAAAGACAAGTACCAAATGATTTCACTCATATGTGGAGTTTAAGGACAAAGAAAAACTGAAGGAACAAAACAGCAGCAGAATCACAGAACCGAAGAATGGACTAACAGTTACCAAAGGGAAAGGGACTGGGCAGGAGGGGAGGGAAGGGATGGATAAGGGCAGGGAAAAAGAAAGTGGGTCTTATGATTAGCATGTATAATGTGGGGGGGGGCATAGGGAGGGATTTGTAACACAGAGAAGGCAAGTAGTGAGTCTACAGCATCTTACTACACTGATGGACAGTGATTGTAATGGGGTTTGTTGGGGGGGGACTTGGTGAAGGGGGGAGTCTAGTAACCATAATGTTCTTCATGTAATTGTAGATTAATGATGATAAAGTGAATTAAAAAAAAGAATAGAAGAAAAAAATTAAAAAAATAAAAAATAAAAAAATAAAACCAAGTGTGATATAAACCAAAAATAAGTGCCTTGAGAGTTGCAAGCTAGGTATTGAAAGGCTTGAAATTATATTATTTTGAAAAATAGAACTGTGAACTAGGCCTTCTGTGACAGAGTTGCATTTCAGCAGATGAAGACCAGACTTAGAATGGCAACTCTTCCTGTGCATTTATGGAGCAAATACCCAAATACAACATTCATGGAGTGAGTGATACATATTCCATTTTGGTCAAAGCAAATGAATATGTATAAAGAAGCATGGTCTGCTTGCATACCAGTCTAATATGTGACTAATATACAACTATCCAAACGTGCCATTGTATATTTTTAAAACAATATGTAGAATAGAATTCTCATGCATCAGCTGTTTATCGAAAAGAATTTAAAAATTTTGTATGTCCTTTAGGTATCATTATTAATTGATTTCATAACCTGCGTTGCCATGAACTTTTAGGGAAAAGTGGGTGTGTCTTCCTTGAATTGTGACTCCATTTATGCTGTTTTTCACTTGTAGGTATTTTCAGGTTGCCCGATGTTACAGAGATGAAGGTTCGAGACCAGACAGACAGCCCGAGTTTACTCAGGTACTCGTCTCTTACTGATTCAGCCTTGCTGCAGCAAAGTATTCAAGACCAGGACAGTAATTGTACATACTTACTACATCTTATCCATCAGATACCTAATTAAACTTACCTGCAGTTGAGACACTAATTATTTAATTTTTTATCCATTTCATGTGTCCTTTTCGTAAGGAGTGTGGTCACCAACTAAGGTATGCCAGAGATCCCTACAATCTTTTAACGGTCATGATATGATAAAGTTCTTAAAACAAATCTCTTACACATTAAGAACCAACACTTCTATACATTGATATTTAATTTATCTGTGGACTCATCAAAGCTATTAGGATTTTATTTCTGAATGATAGTATATTAATCAGGGTAGTGAAGCACAAAAATCATAAGCTTTGGAGTTGGACAGACCTAGGATAAATGTAGCTTCACTACTTGCTTTGCATACATAGGCAAGTCACTTAGTCTCTCTGACCTTTAAGCCATGAGATAGTTATGGGAACTAAACAAGTTGATGGATGTAAAGCTTAGCAGTGCCTGGCATAAAAAGATGCACAATAATATTTATACCCTTGCCCATTTTTAAGTATTTGTGTGCAGATTTCCTTGGTAACTTGAAACCAGAGAAATAAATAAATATGTACATATTAATATTGTGGCTGTTGAAGTTAGCTTCCGTATGTTATTTTGGTTTCAGATTGACATAGAGATGTCTTTTGTAGACCAGAGTGGGATCCAGAGGCTGATCGAGGGTTTGCTACAGTATTCCTGGCCCAGTGATAAGGATCCTGTGATGGTTCCCTTCCCCTCTATGACTTTTGCTGAGGCCTTGGCCAGCTATGGAACTGATAAACCCGATACTCGCTTCGGGATGAAGGTACTTCTCATCACATTTCTAGGACTCTGTCCCCAAAGAGCCCTGTAGTCTTTTGAACCACTTTGAAATTTGTGACCAGTTACATACATGGTGTTTTGTGTTTTCTTGTGAATGTTGCTTGTCACATTCCTTCTTGTTTCTGAGCTGCAGCAAGAGAGACTCATAGACTGTTAACGTTACTTCTTTGCTATCAGTCTGCTCCATTTCCAAGAACAAGGTTCTTGCTATAAAGTTTTTATTATGGATAAGTAATTAATTATATGGATATAATGGTAACCTTCAATTTTTCTTTAGCTAAAGTGGCACTTGGAAGGCAAATGATTAAGTTATTTATTCTTTTTCCCTGGTCTGTAAAGAACCCAAACATATGGAAATGTTTTTTCAAATTACTAAGATCTATACATATTTAGCTAAGGGTATGGGTAGAATTTATATAGTGCAGTTTACATTAGCAAGCCTCTCATTATTTGCTCTCAGTAAGCAATAGCCCTTCATCTCTGTAATGCTGGTGACATTTCTGTATCTCAGTTCTCATTGCAAATTCCTTAGAAACTGAGTTCTGCCTGGTCTATGAATAGGCTGTGCTCAGTTCTTAGAATGAAAAAAATATAATATACAAAAACTCGTAACTGCCTACTTATAGCAGCCAACTTAACTGCTCCCTCTTTCTTCTGTAATATTGAATAGTGGTTCTTAAGTCAGACTGCTTAGGTTAAATTCTGTCTCTCCCACTTACTAGCTGTGTCATCTTGGGCTGGTTATTTCCTTCCCTGTCCTTGCTTTCCTCATCTATTAAATGGGGATTATACATTTGCTATACAGTTGAAATGAATTAGTGCTAATGAATACTATAGTAGTACATCAACATTTGTCATAGTGCCCAGCCCATGGTAGTCACTCCATAAATGTTAACAAGGTCTACTTTCTTCTTTAAAATCTTGTTTGTAAAATGTTTTGAGATAAAGATAACTTCACTTTTAGTTACACTTTTTTGTTACCCATTTTCCAGATCATAGATTTCAGTGATGTGTTCAGAAACACAGAGGTTGGATTTCTCCAAGATGCACTTAGTAAACCCCGAGGATCTGTCAAAGCCTTATGTATCCCTGAAGGAGCAGTAAGTGAAGTACAATGCTGTATTTTCTCTAGAATGTATATTTAGGAAGTAACTATGTTCAACATTGGCACTTTAAAACTTCAGGAAGAAAAATTCTCTTTAAATAAGAATATTTTTATAGTCTAACAATGTCCCTAAAATTGTAAGTAGAGAACAATACAACCTATGAATATGGGTGTACATTCAAGAGCTAAAGGTTTTTTTTTCTTTTATACACTGCTATAAAGTACTCTGGTACTTCACTTGGGATCATTTCTACCAGTGATGAGCATAAATAGTGTTCATACTATCTCTAGCCTCAGTTTGTCCAAAGACTCTCCACCCCGTATCAGCTCCAGCACTGACTTTGCATGCTGGTTCTTGCTCTTGGTCTTCTGAGGGCTCTGATCTCAACAGCATTAATAACTAGGGGAAGAGAAAGGAGGTGGGGCTATGAAAAGCACAAAGGCTGGGAGATGACACGGAGAAAATGATTGGGCTAGGCAAGCATTGACTCCAGAATAATGGGACATATCTATTATCTGCAGTTAGTACACCTGCTTTGAAAGTGATTTAATAAGAGGGGTTCCAGTGTATTTTGAATGAGATTACTATTTTGAAAGAATCCTCATTTGGATACACAGTCATATTAGTATATTCAAAATGGGATAAGAATTCATTCTCATTACTTTGTATTCACTTCATATCTCAATGGGCAGTAAATTGGTGTCCAAACTCTAGTCTAGATATAGTGTATTCAGGTAATATCAGTATAACATACATTGCTTGTTCTTATGTACCCCAACTCGAGTATGTCTATTCTTCCCCTAGTAGATAAGAACTGCAGGGCTGTGAACCATGTTTTCACCTTTTTGAATCTCCCATACCTAGTTAATAAGTGCTCCATGAATATTAGCTATGATGATAGCCATAGTATCTAGCATAGAAAGACATTGAAATAATTTGGAAAAAGATATAAAGAATTCTGAGAGACCTGAAATAATCAAATTCTGAGTCCTGCACATTACATATACAGACTCTTCTATGGAATATATTCATAGCTACTTCCAATGAGACCTACATAATTGGAAACAAAAGTAAGTTAAAATTTTCTCATTTGGCAGCAGAAATTAAATTTTTATTGAATCCTACCATTGTAGTGGGAAGACAAGAAATATATTTGTATTCCATTTGATATCATAAACATGTTTATGAAGCTCAGTGTTATATTGATGTGTTTACTTTCATTTTCCTTCATCAGAAATACTTAAAAACGAAAGACATTGAGTCCATTAGAAAATTTGCAGCTGACCATTTTAATCAGGTAAGGAGTTAATTAGAGCCAGTTTTCCCCCCCCCCTTTCTAGGAGAGATTCAGTATTTTTAATAATTGCTTGAATTCTTATCATCAGTTTTGAGGGTCTTGTTATTTCATGTCATTCTTCTACTTCTTTTTATTTTTAGAGTTAATCTTATCCCTGGGTGTAACTCCTCTAAGGCTTCAACTTAGATGGTTGAATTCACCATTAATCAGAATATGAAAGTTCAAAGTCTTTTAAACAATGGTTCTTTAATCCAGTTAAGAAAATAGAGCACAACGTGCATACCCAAGGTTTAAATGAAAATGTGGCAGGTGTGAAAGAAAGCCTGTATTCATTGTCCTCAAACATTTCTTAAAATTCTGAATATACCTTGACAGACGCATTTCATGTTCTTGGCTTGGTGATGGGTAGAACTAAAATAGGGAAGAGCATGAGTGGGGGAATGGGCATTCTGACATTGTCACTGTCTCAACTGCCTCAGCCATTTTAGAATCAGTAACTTTAAAAATAGTCATGCTTTTTGAGTCAGCAGTTTCCCATGATATACTAAAGGATCTTAAATGTGAGGAGACTTTATGCTCAGCACAGTATCATTTACAACAGGAATAAAATGAAACCATATGGGAATGATGAATAAAGTATAATCAAAAGACTTCATATTAAACTTACTTTTTAAAACTGTCTCCTACAAGTTTGTAATATGGGGGAAATGTTCATGCTGTAGTGATTTGTAAGAAAGGAAGAATTCAGAATTATATGTTCAGTGACGATAACCATGTAAAAATCACTGTATATTTGTATAGAAAATGGACTACCTACCTCTTCCACTCATACCTCAAGCTCAAAGGGATTTTTCAGTAAGAAAGAACAATTAGGATAGCGGTTTCCAAAACAGGTCCAGGCAAATGAGGAATCAGGGCAGTATAAAACTTTTCATAAAGTTAAATCAATTTGAAGAACTATCCTTAATTCTCCTTGTTTTTTACTCTAAATATGTTTTTTCTTTTATGAAATGATGGTAATAGTAGATATACTGGTCTGTTTTCTGCCTTTGATAAGATCCAAAATTCACAACCCTGTATCTCCCAATTTTGCTTCTTTATTTTTCTTCTAATAGTGTTTGAAGTCTCCAACTAGGAACCACAGGACCAGGAAATAGACTCGAGGGTTAATTTTGCAGCCTTTAGTTGAATGCTTTTTTAGCAATCATGTTATTTCCCGGTAGCTCTTTCTTGCTTTTTTTCACTGTATTTTATTCTGGTTTTATTTATAAACTGTCTTTTTGAGTACATTTAAGGATTCAAGTCTTCTATGGGTCCCTAAATTATCTCAGGTCCTTTTTTTATTTATCTTGATTTTTTTTTAATACTACAGAGTCTCTTTAATGTGTGGTGGTTGTTGGTTGTACATTTAAGAATGACATGTTTTAAAAACTGGTTGGGAACACAGTGTCCTTGGAGGGGCTTGTAGATAGTTAGGTTTGCTTTAGGTGAACAGCAGGGCCATTGGCTGTGACCTTGGGGACCCAAAGCTTCCTGAGTGCTGAGCCTCTCTTGGATTCTGCAGGCTAAAATCAGTTCCTTCTGTGCTGAGGCTGCTCCCTTGTTCTCTAGGCCAGAGCTTCCTGCATCTTGCTTTAGTCATTCCTATTCCATTCACTTGCAACCTGCCAAAAATTTACAGAAATCTCTTATCTGTGCATATCTCCCCACTCTTCATTCTCTTTTTTCATTATTGTGAGATTAGTTTTTTAGTCCCTTCAGTATCATTTTGAAGGATTCAGAGAAAAATAATCTCATGTAGGTTCTCTGCTATTGGAAACAAGAAGTCTTTGTACTATGAGAAAGATAAACCACCACTTAAAAAAAAAATCTTATCTTTATCACAGGAAATCTATCCCATATTCCTGAAAGCCAATAGAAACTGGAATTCTCCATTTGCTCAATTCATAATGAAGGAGCAAAGATTGGGACTAATGAGACTGATGGAGATTCAGGAGGAAGATGTGGTCCTACTAACTGTTGGCGAGCACAGTAAAGCAGTAAGAAAAACGATTTCAAGGCATCTACGCTGTTGATCTTGAATGACGAATTAACCTAGCACTTTACAATGCACTGAACATAAACTAGTGTTTTTTTCATCAGCTACCAGCCTCCATTGGCATTGCTCACACAGATTAGATCTGGCTCTGGTTAGGAGAGCCACTTAGGTAGAGGGCTGTTGGTATTCACTGTATGACTATGATGAAATATTTTCATTTTCAAGGTTTTGCAGATTAAGAAAATTTGGTAACCCCAAACTTTAGTACATAGTGCATTACTGAAAATGTGGAGGAATGGATCAGACTGCTGGAGAGCTGAGGGGCTGGGAGGCACCTGGCCCTGCTTGGTCATGGCAGGACCAGCTTTCCTCAGGAACAGCTGCTGGAGGTCGTGAGTGCTGTATGCACTGGCTGAGTCACCATTCTTCAGGAGATACGCGGAAGACTGGATTTAGCTTTAGAAATCATTGTAAAATACACAAAAGTGGGATGTAACAGTCAAACATGAATATTGAAAATCCGAAAAGATGAAGCATAATACAAATTCATCCTTACACTATAGTATTATATGATTTCTTTATAGTAAGAGTATCTGATTAGTACTTTATCAAGTTCATTCTTCTAATTTGTATTGCTTTACTTATCATTGTTTCGAATTCCAAAAGAAAAGTTTCAGACTTCAGCTTCAAATCTAAATGTAATCCACTGTCTTGTCCTGCAGTTGTAGAATGAAGAAAGCTATTGCTACTGCAGTCATTTATTTAATGAATTCATTTGTCAATACCAGCCATAAGACAGCACTGTTAAATTTGCTTGAGAACACAGCAGTTAATTATATATTTTGTCAATGCATTTCTTAAAAAAGAACTTTGGATTTTGTTTTATATAAACATCCCACTGCAAACTCATTTTGCTATTAAACTTTCCCCAGCTGTGAACTGAAACTTCTGGTATTCTTTTCTCAGGAAGGTATCATTCTAATTCCTTCTGAGAACCTTCTTGAAAGAATGCTAGAAACCAGACTTTGGAGGAATAGCATTAGCATTCTGAGTAAGTCACAGTGAAAGTGCTTCTGTGTGGATATTTAAATGTAAGATGGATTAGGCCACAAATGACATCCTGTGCATGTCTCCAGGCATGGTTCCTGTTCTAACTGCACTTTTTCAGGGAAGCCATGTTTATCATAGTTAGCATATTTTAAGTACTTCCTGTTTGCCCAGCACTGTTCTGAGTACTTTGTTGTATATTAACTCATTTAATCCTCATGACAACTCTGTTGAGAGAAGTTAGCATCTTAGAGATGGTACCTTCTTTACTTACTGTTACCGTCTTAATAAGAAAACAGGCACAGAGATAAAAAAATTTACTCGTACTCACACAGCTCTGGAGGGGAGGAGCCAGATTTCTAACCTACAAAATCTGGTTCCAAAATTCACACTCTTAAATTAACCTCAGATTCATGCTGCGTCTCTAATAATAGCTGACGTTTGTTGAACATTAAATACATCTCAGGCACTCATCAGATCCTCAGTATAACCTGTCAGGAGCAGTAAGGAAAGAATAGTCATAATACCCACCATTCATATTGCACCTTTTATATCTGTCTCACTTATTTTCACAACAGTGTTTTGGAGTAGATATTTTTATCTCTGTTTTGCTGTGGAAAAAGGTGCAGAGTTGTTAGTAGCCAAACTGAGATACAGACCCAGGCCAGTCAAGCTCTGATACTCTGTGTTCTCAGTGTTACCAGACACCCAGTCTGTTGAGTTTGATAATCTAACTGCAATTCAGTGGAGAATGACTATCTTCGTATCTTTGTCTCCTGAGAGACTATAAGTGTCTCATCTGTAAATTGGCTAATCCTTTCCAGAGACTGGCCTGGCTTTATAATCCAGGTTGCAATTGCTGCCTATTCTGTCACAGCAGTTAACTCAGTGTTTATCACTTCTGTTTGCAGTGCTCATTGTTGGGAAAAGTACGACTGGAATGTGCTGACCTTCTAGAAGCAAGAGGAGTGGTACTCCGTGATCCAGCCCTGTTCTCTTTCCTTTGGGTGGTGGATTTCCCACTTTTCCTTCCCAAGGAGGAAAATCTCAGTGAGCTGGAGTCAGCACACCACCCATTTACTGCTCCCCACCCCAGTGACATCAACCTCCTATACACTGAGCCTGAAAAGGTAGCATATCTATACTTCCAGATAAACAGGGAAATGTGGACACAAAGGCAGAGAACTTCAGATTTTACAGTCTGACCCAATTCTGGAAGCCCCAGAAGAAACTGTTGGGTTTGAGCCAATACTTAATACATTGTTAAGTAGCTAGTGTCTTCAACCTATAGAACAGAAAATCAGAAATTTTCTCTAACATAAAGGCTCTGTGAATCTTCTAGGTCCGTAGCCAACACTATGACTTGATTTTAAACGGCAGTGAGATAGGAGGTGGTTCTATCCGAATTCATGATTCAGAACTACAGCGTTATATCCTGGCAACATTACTAAAGGTAACATCATATTCTAACCCTGGCCTTTTTTAAAATCAGAATGTTTGTCCATTTTGTTAAAACTTGTTATGGAGATTCGCTATATACAGAATAGTGTTGGCTTATCTCTCCACCTTTAGTGTAGGACATTGAAAAGTAACTGATAGTAATAGTCATCAGTGCTTACTCTATGCCAGACACTGTTAAGTACTTTATGTGCACTGATGCATTTAACTTTACAGTTTATTTTTGAAATACCTTTATTCTGCCCATTTTAAAGTTGAAAAACTGAGGTAGGCAGAGTAATTTTAGCCTCTTCTTGACCCTCAAGCTACCCTACCATGCAGCAGCATTTGACACTGTTGCCCTCTGAACAATGTTCTCTTCCACTGGCCCCGAGACAGGAGTTTCCTGCTTTTCATCCTGCCTTTCTGAGCCCACCTCTTCATGTTCTTAGTTGGTCTTACTCTGTTTGCGTTACCAGTGTAATATACTTCTTTTATGGAGCACCAGGCATTTCTCTGCATGTTTTAATATCTGTGACTTGAATTCTCTTGCTAAATGATAAACTACTTTTTTAACTGAATTTTATTTTCTATTTAGTACTTAATCTTATTGTGTGGCACTTCATGGACCCTCAGTGTGTATTTAAATTGAATTATGTTTTGCATTTCAGGAAGATGTGAAATTGTTTTTATGGAGCACCAGGCATTTCTCTGCATGTTTTAATATCTGTGACTTGAATTCTCTTGCTAAATGATAAACTACTTTTTTAACTGAATTTTATTTTCTATTTAGTACTTAATCTTATTGTGTGGCACTTCATGGACCCTCAGTGTGTATTTAAATTGAATTATGTTTTGCATTTCAGGAAGATGTGAAATTGCTCTCCCATCTGCTCCAGGCTTTAGATTATGGGGCACCCCCTCATGGAGGAATTGCCTTAGGTAAACATGTCTGTTCTTTTACCAGCAAAATGTCATTCTGTAACACTAGGTCCCAAATTTGGGCTCTTAATTTACTAGGGGTGAGAGAGAAAGCAAGGGTGGGGCAAAAACCTATTAAGTTCTACAAGAATTTAAGTTTGTTTTTCCATTTCAGTGACGTATTTTTACATTATAAATGTTAAGATAAAAATGAGTAATTTACATTTGAAAGATTTAATAGAATAAAACTAGTCTTCAGTCAGGATTGCTCGAATCCCTGAGGGCTCACAGACACATTTACTGGAGTCTGGAAACCACTGGTCCATAGTATTCAGCTTGTACAAAAGTGGAAATATGCCAGCGCTCTTCTGATGGCCATGGTCACTCACCTTGCTAGTTTTACCAAGCAAGAAGAGTGAGAAATTCCAGGATGCTCACCTAGACTCTAGGCCCTTTGAGCATTTTTCTAGAATAAGAAAAGAATCACACAAACAAAAGTTCTCTAAAAAGTCAGGGACCTGTGCTTGGCTACAACTTGTTAGATTGATTTAGAAGTTCTTACAACCTTCATAAAATTTAGTCACTCCGAATCTTAGATTACATTCTCATCTGTTAATTTTGTATTTTACTCACAGGATTAGACAGACTGATATGCCTTGTCACTGGAGCACCAAGCATCAGAGATGTCATAGCCTTCCCCAAATCCTTCCGGGGGCATGATCTCATGAGCAATGCACCTGATTCTCTCTCTCCTGAGGAACTGAAGCCCTATCATATCCAGGTTTCCTGGTCAGCAGACTCAGCAGCAGAGAAGAGCTCCTTGAATCATCCACACTGTCCAGAAAGTTGAGTTTATGGGTTTGTCCTCTGCCTTCCCAGGCTAACACCAGATCTGGAGTTCAGCCAGATACGGCAATCATGTTTTTAGGGGGAGAGTCCAGGCAACATTCTCCACAATGAAGAAACAGAAGGTATCCAGTTTTGACCTGATAACATACATTAGTATTTTTCTTTGTTCGGGACACTTGAAGATTCTTACTTGGAGAGGTGTGAAAGATGGCTCCTTGTTGGAGTATAATAGCATAGTGTTTTCCACCCGATTTGTTCACTGAGGACAGAGGTAATCAAATCGTGTGAAATGTGGGTAATAGGTGACGGGGCCAGTTCAATCAGCCTCAAGAGAATCCTATGAAGCTGCATAGTGATGTTTCAGCTATAATAGAAAAGCAACATAATGTAATGCAAAAAAAAAAATCACTTTTAAGAAGTCATAAAATCTTGTTTTACCTTGAACAAGTTGTATAAACCTTAGACTCCCTTCATGCTTATATATATGAAACTTGAATTGTTTGCCCTTGTTACCTCACAGGTTTTTGGGTGTTTTTTTTTTGCCAAAATCAGATGTAATATATGTGGAAGATGTGAATGAAAATGCTTTAAAAACTATGAAGCACTACCCAAATTCAAAACATTACCAATCTATCTATAAATAAGCGTATTTGTTTAAATTGGTATCTGCAATAGAATTTTAGTATGCTTTAAAATCCCTAAATAATTTTCAATTATCAGTAATTGAAAATACTAAGTAACTTCAAATGTGTAAGTGAATGAACACTGTCATTGTAATTTTCTTAATGCATCCTGTTGACATAAATCTTACATATAAAATGGGAAGAAATCCTTGGTCAATGAAATTGTCTTTTCCCATTTTATCTTCACTTTTGCCTTGCTTATTTGGAGTTGTGATTTGAATACCAACTTTCAGTCTATATACCTGCCTGCTTTTCTCCATACCCTATAAGCATTGTAGATATAATTTGTTTGGAAATAAAATCACCTTCCCCTCCAGGTCAAATGTGTGATGCTCAGAAGGATGCAGTGTAAATATCCTTCACTATACAACGGTAGCTGGGCTGTCTGAAGTGTGACCTTTAACAATCTCTTTCTTCCATCTGTGAGACACTCTGGTGCCAGAAAACCCTTGCTGGTGTCCCCCTCTGCCTACCCTTTCAATGTGGAGAGAACTTCTAGAGGTTCCCTAGATCAGAAACATGCAGTTTTGTATCCATTTATCCCACTTGGACATTATGTAATTCTGACAAATTTATTGTTTTAAAGACTTAATGGACCAAAACATTTTGTCCTGGAAATGAGTCATAGAAAACAAAACACCCAAATACCAAAGGCCCCAGGTCCGTAAGTCAATTCTGTGTTGGCATCTGAGACTTAATCATCTTGGGCATCACTGAGCTTTTCTTCAAACCTATCAAAGGGAAAAAACTTACTCGGAAACCTAGGGAAATAGCACTGTTTTAGATAATTGAGGTAGGGTGAAATTTCAAGCATTTTCTCAAAAACTTAAGTATTTACTGATAAAAGTTTCAACAAAACCAGGATTCATAAAATGCATGAATTATAAACGGGAAGCTATTTTAAATTCAATCTCACCAGCTTCCCAGGGAATAGATTTACCCTATTGCAAGTGCTCAAAACTAGTTACTAGCTACATTAGTCAGGTCTTATGAACAAGTTTCTTTCAGGGAAGATGTCAGATGAGCCAAATGTAAGTTTTTATGCCCAAATTACACGATACTGCTAAAAATTGCAATGTATAAACCATGCAATGAATACACACTTAAGTTCTAGCCTTCTATGCTTAAGACAATGGACTTAGAACTTTTGAGTTGGGCATACCTGAACTTAATTTCCAGCTCTGCTATTGTGAAGGAATGACCCCTGCGCCCCTAAGCCCACTGGGCCTAAGCGACCTGGGAGATGTCCCCTGGGAGGTTCCCTGCCCAAAGGCCCTGTCCATCCCAGAAGACTGCCTGTACAAAAGCCTTGCTCACTGCATCACACCTACTCAGCCTTTGGAGGTTACTTCACTGACTTTGCACTGGTGCCATAATAAACCAGTTTTTTGATCCCTGATTGCTCTCTGTGCCAGTCCAATTTTCCTTAACACTATAGTAATGTAGCCTTGGTTCAGTCATTTAACCTCTCCAGGCTCCTGTTCCTTCACCTAAAATAGTAGTTACAAGTTTTGGTTTCAGGACCACTTACATTCTAAACTGAAGACCCCAAGGACCTCTATACTGTAGTTAAGAAAATTGATTTCATTGGATACAGTTCATGACTTCACCTTTGCAGTATGGCAGTATATCCTAGAAAATCTTGGCACAGAACACTAAATATCCTAAATAGAAACTTAAGTGCACTGATAAGCTAATAAGGAATTCTTTAAAAAATGATCCAAAGCACTGACAGTTGAATGCTGGAGCTGTTCAAGTCCTGTGGTGCTGAGCCAATGACCTGGGACTTTGGTTTTGATGGATCCTTTGAGAGCAAAGGGCAAACCAAGCCTATTGCATGTCTAATACGATTATCACGTGGAAGAGATCTCCCCACATAAAACCAGGGCTCCTTAAACAAGACTCTGCCCACCCCCTTAGTGAAGGGTGATCAACTTGTTTTGGCTCTGGGTAATGGGAGATGTTGTATTAACAGCCATAAGCTGGCACTCTGTAACAGGTCTGAACTGAACACTTTACAAGCTGAAATACCGTGTTCCTAGGCTGATAAAAGCAAATGCATAATTGTCTAAGAACGCTTGACACCCAGTCCTCAAATTTCCTACAGATAAGGATTGGAAAATTACAAATTCCAAGGAACAATTTCATAATGAAAAAAATCACAAAATACACAGGAAAAAAAGCTACTGTGAGACATCAATTTCAGCCCTCCAACCACTGTTTGCAAGTCTTTAAAGAGCTTCTGCTTTTGGGCTAACACTCCAACCTTGTTTCCAAGGGTGACTTCAGTTTGAGAATTAGGGCAAATACTGACCCAGGGACTTTAATACTCAGTCTCTTAGAAAATGTTCACAAAACATGTAGCTTGTCCCTATACAAAGTACAGCATTTTTAATATGAGAACTAATTTATTCCTCAGCCCAAACTGCACTTTCAAGCCTAAGACATCTTGGAAAATACATTGGAAAATGTTAACTGGCTGTACTAATGAAACTCATGGGTCCCTAATACGAAGATGGTCTTGTTTTCCTTTCTTCATCCCATTTAATTGAAAATAAGCACACTTTAGTTTATAGAAATTTATTAAAACTGAAAGTTTCATCTATCTTCTGACCAACTGCCTGCAAGAACAAAGAGGTCACACATTTAGTCACTTTCCCACAATTCAATTCTAATAGTATTTACACTACACAGAATATCAGATCTTACATAATCGTCAGATAATCAGTGAGAGAGTTCAAGTTGGGGTGAGATCATCATATATTCTGTAACAAGACAACAGTACTGGTATATTTAAGACTCACCTTTCAGTTGGTAAGCTGGAGATTGTTGCCATCATAAATAGCCTAAAGGTAAAGATTGCATGTTAATCATAGTAAAAAAAAAAAAAGAATTTGTGATGCTTATTAGTAAAGTAACCTCAGAATAAAAATGGAACGGTTTTATGAGCGATATCATTCTATTTCATTTGGCAGAATCATTGCATCACTGGTTACATACTAACTTACCATATACACCAAAGACAACTTACCTTGATTCTTCAGGGTAACAGGACTGCCTATTTAAAGAAAAAAAGCCATTTAGAATGTGCCCTGCTCAATTTCCCCAATTTTATGATCTATTTTTAACATTTTGAAAAACATTTAAGGTGCACTTTATACAGATGACAATGGTAGATGTCATTAAACATTTGTCCAAACACATAAAACACATCCTGAGTGGACCTTGATGTAAACGATGAACGTTCAGTGACAATATGTCAACAATGTATTAGTAATTTTAACACAAAAGGCTAACTCTAGTGCTGGATGTTGTGTGTGAAGTGTATGAAGACAGGGTATTTGGGAACTCTACTTTGTTCATTTTTTTATAGGAATCAAACTGCTCTGAAGAATACATTTATTAATTAGAAAACAAAAACAGGTAACTCAGCTGCATATATCTAGATTAATATACATATGCCATAAAAATTACATCCTAAAAATGTATTTAACCTGTGTTTCTCCAAATATGAATTCTTAATCCTGAAATTGTATATCTCTGTATGAGCCATTAAAATGATCCAAACCCTGAACATTTTCTGTGGGTCGCAGCTTATTTCCCTTTTCAAAGGCATAAATGGTTATTGGAGCCAGATACGTCAGATAGGAGCGAAAGACAGTACTGTTCATCACCTTTAGTCTGCTGAACTATGTTATCATCACTGTATCGGCTTTAAACCACTTCACACAGAAACCAAACTTCGAACTACTTACTATACCTTTGCTTAAAGCTCCTCATTCCATGCCTTGTAGCCAATGCAACTCCTGAAACTACAGAATTTTTGTCAAATTTAGTTAACAGATAGTAACAGGTAGATGGCTAAAATATCCTACACACTGTTTCAGCTTAAAAAAATCTTCACACTTTTTCAGAGAGATTCCCATCTTTGTAATTTCAAAAATCATCACCAACAGCATCAACTGATTTACCTAGTAAATAGGTAAGATTAATGACTTACCTTTATATATGACTTCAAAATCTGTACCTGAAAAAGTTATTTAAATACACATCACAACTGCTGAATACTCATGCCTATTTACTTCTCAAACCAGCCCAGTTCAGAAACAATATAAACCTGAGTGCCAAGAGCCAATCTATTTTCATGTCTTACCCCAAAGCAAGCCATCCACAGATTTAAGACATGCACCCAGTAACTAGAAAAGAACACGAGACATCTTTGATTAAAACATTAAATGTCATGAAATTCTTCTCAAGAGTTATTATTCACAGGGTTCTTCAGTGTTAAATTTGTCTACATGCTCAATTCAGGTCAGACATTTGGATCAGCATCATTACAAAAACCCCATTCACAGCATGCTCAACATGTACTCACTAACCACACACAGTAAATTAGTAGCTTGGTAGGTTAAGCCTTCTACTTATCAGCATTCTCACAGTTAAGTTTTGAGCCTACTAAAACTAAAATGTTTTTAACATTAATAACTTACCAAAAAAATCAAGATGGTCTGAACATGTCACTCAAGTCCACCTAAGAAAGAATGGTTTTTACAATACCCAAGGAGGTACTTTCTCCCCACCAATCCAAAAAATGCCTGAAATCAGGTAGAGCTAATAAGACCTTCATGTTCAGTCAGTATTTGCTTATCATCATACAGGCGGCTTTCACAATCACAACAGCATCTTATTAACAGTAATAGGGATCTGGTATTTTATTGCATTAAGCACTGTTCAACACTTAACGGTAGGGGACCTTCCAATGCATTAAAAGGCAGCCCTACAAAGACATTAGATGCACTGTCACGTTTGCCCAGTTAGCGATGTTTAGTTCAATTATAATTTTACTTACCCCTTGAACTTTCAGCTAATTCTGTTTTGTGCCTACAAAAAAGAAACATTACATTAGCAGTGGTACTTTTGCTTATGCAGTTAGTAGCAAGCCAGCTTCCGTAACCCAGATACATCAGACAAATGGTGTAACATCTTCATGCCTCAATCTGCTGAACTATGCAACCATCATAGTATCTGTTTCCTCAAAACTCCCCCAGTATTAAATAAAACACGTAAGAGGGCATAAGTTTATATTTGGAAAGGGGAAGAGAAAAATCCTCATGTAAGCAACAATGATGTGGCAATTTATAATCGTTAAAAAAGAACTGAAGAGCACTGGCTACACATGGGCAATAAAAAGGTCTCTCACCTGTTTACCCATGGCCAGACCTTTAGGACCTGGAAAGAAACAGGTTCGTGTTAAGTTTGGTCCAATCTCTGCGTTCTCTACATCACCATCTAGTGTGCCTCAGTTAAGGTAAAGGTGGTAATAAATCTCGTCATCCTCACAGTCAAGAGTAGCAAATAAAAGGTCATCATCGTGGCACATTCAGACTTTAACCTTGCTTCCCTTTAGAGGGACTTCAGTAACTTACCCGGCAGCTCTTTTCATCCCACTGGCACTTAACTAAAATATAGACACAAAAAATATCCAATGAATAACACTGTGCAGCCAAGTTAAACACACTGTTAAATGTCTACTTAAGCCTCAGAAAAGAATTTTCAGAAATCCTTTCTGTCCACTACTCCTAACGCATCACAGGCTTAAAAGACTACCTCTAATCATACTCATTCTTCTTTTATTTACCCTTCTCTTACCTGTCCATCAGAGGCCATCAAATGCCACATCGCGTTCGTGCCTGGCACGTTCCCTAAGAAAGATATTAAGGTCTTTCGATTATCTGGGTCTACCTTAAGCATTATGTCATTTTTTAAACTATTCAAGTCATTTGCACAACCCACAATTTCATGGCTATAAAGGTTGCATTTAGTAACATGGTATAAAGACAGCATTGCACAGAATTTGAGTTAAGAGCCACTGACGGAAATAATGGTGCACTGCGCAAGGCAACCGCTTAGAGTATCACGTGGACGACCCCGGCTCCCGGCCCTCCTTCCTGGGCGAGCAGCCTGAGACGCGGGCAGAGATTAAAGCTGCTCGGGTAACTCAGCATGCGCCGCCCTCAGAGCCGTTGGCATTCATCAAGTCTCAGATGTCCCTACCAACACAGCTTCATCAGAGGCAAGGCAACCGAGCTGTGTTCCCCACAGTCCGGCCCAACCACCGGAGCAGTTCAGGCCGAGCCGCACCCAAAGCGCAATCCTCCACCATCTTCATTTTGCGAGCCCCGCCGAAGTTTGTGACTGGCCTAGAAATGACAGCCAGTCTAAGGCGACTTCAGCTGTTCAGAGCTGGAAGGCCTGAGGCCAAAAACCCATTTTGCAACCACAAAAAAAAGAGTGAACCTACCAAACCCCGACGCCTAACCTCAAAAGACCGAGATGGCCGCCAGGCGCCTGTATATAAGGAGTCTCTCCCGTGACGTCATGACGCACTCTCCCTACCGGCGCCGGCCTCAGCACTTGCTCGTCTCCTCCCTCAAACTCCTCCTCCTTCTCCGGCAACACCTCTTTCCCTTCCCTTAAGCCCGCCCCCTTAGCCCCGCCCAGTCGCCATCGTGGGCGGGGAACGCGGCCGTCCGCGTGATGCAGGTTCCGCCCTCCTACCCGCAGAGCAGAGAGGGGAGGGGGCGCGAGGAAAGGAAAGCGCTGGGGGAGGGGAGGGGGGCGGTGTAAGGGTGAGTGATTTCCTTCCGGCACGTAGCCCGCTCCGGGGAAGGGGGTGGGGGGTTTCACTTCCGGGACGGTGTTCCGGCCCATTCCGGCCCATTTCCACCCCCGGAGGTAGGTGCTGCTCCTTGACTGGGCTCGGGCCCCGCACGCCCGTCCCGCTGTCCTGCACGAGGCCGCCGTGCTCGCTCTCCGCCGCAGCCTACCCCAGGGGCGCTCAGCCACTTCCCCTCACGCTCCCTCCAGGCACCCTGAGACCTGCCACCCCCCTTGGCCCTGGGCAGAGCTGCCGGACCCGCCCCCTCGCCGGCCCCTCCCTCAAGACCCCGGGCGGAGCGGCCCTCTCCCCCGCCTCAGCCCGGACACACCCAGATGCACACACCCACCTCCGGCGCACCCGCCGCCGGCTCCTGGCCCGGGTCCCGGGGCACCGCCCCCTTCCCGGTGCGAACCCTCACCTGATTGCTCGCTCCCCGCTGCACGCCTGCCTCCCTGTCCTCCCTCACTCCCCGGTGACATTTCGCCCCTCAGCCCGTTCCTCACTCCCCACGCTTCCTAACGCCGACGGAAGCCGTCCCAGTACCGGAGTGGCCAACGCCATGCCGATCCTGATTCTCCCTCTTGCATTTCTCACCTCTCCCGGTACCGACGGTAGAAAAGACCTTACTTCAGAGGCTCCCCCGGAAAGAGCAAACAAAAAAGGCGCTGGTGTAGGCTCCAAAATAAATACATCTGAATTCATGATGGCATCAACAGAGGCTTTTACTGGATTAAAAGTTTCAAAACAAACAAAAACGCTTTGGAAAAAGGTCAGATGGCTAAAGTTGATTCTTGAAAGCAGTGTATACACTTCCCTGTTTACTGATAAGTGTGTTGTAAATGCGAGGCAATACTGTGAGATTGTCAGGATAAGATCTTGAAGTTTCAGTTCTTAGGAAACGAGTTGTATAAATTTACAGATAAATGGAAACACACTGGACTCAAGTCAGTGTCTTCCTATTGGACCCTGAACCATTGAAGACTATTGGATGCAGCTGTAGGCCTACTGTTTTAGCTATTTTTTAAAAATATTTTAATGTAAAACTCGGCCATACTTGGTCAATGCTTTTTTTTTTTTTTAACTAGGTTTGGGCAATAAATTTCAGAATCAAAGTATCACCACCTGAAATTCCCAACTTTGGATTTAGATAGAGGCAAGTTTACCTACCCTTTCCTGTTTCTAAGCGTAAACTGTAAGGTCTGTGCATCTTGACTGAACTTTGACAGAGCTGTGGCATTTTTCCTAACCTAAAGTTTGCCCCAGAGTCCTAAACCCACAGCATTTTGTGGGGAGCTCTGACTCTTAAGCTTAGAAATAATAGCTCACATTTATGTGGGATATAAGTCACAGTAAAATAATAAATACATCTCATGGAGCAAAATATTAAGGAGACACCTTATCAACCCATTCATATATAATTACATTTATTCAAAAACCTGCTTTCCTCCTCCAAAGAAAAGTTGTTACAGTATTTCATATTCAGTGTGCAAATACCTTATGATCAACACTAAAAAAAAAAAAAGTAAACTATCACAACTGCCTTTCCCCATTCCCCCATTCTTGTAGAATTTGTTTTGATGTTGCATAGCTTTATTAGTAAGGGAAGCCTGAGCATAGTTGGAATTTTTACAAGTTTCGCAATCACACTGGTTTTTAATGGTGTCTTGCTCTGATGCCTACACTGAAAACCCATTGGTACTTCTTTTTCAGATCTAAAGTATCTCTCTTGGGAGATTTTTGACATTTTATCAGAGTATTTTTACATAGGTTTGAACTGGAAAGCATGAGGGGACTGAAATTATACTTAATAAGAATATGGTTTCCTCTTTCAGCAGGGTTGAATGCCTGCCAACACCCTCAGGCATGACCATGGAGAAAGGTGGGAACATACACTTGGAGATCCCTGACTTCAGCAACTCTGTCCTCAGCCATCTCAACCAGCTGCGCATGCAGGGCCGTCTCTGTGATATTGTGGTCAATGTGCAAGGACAAGCTTTTCGGGCTCACAAAGTGGTACTGGCTGCCAGCTCCCCCTATTTCCGAGATCACATGTCCTTGAATGAGATGAGCACTGTCTCCATTTCGGTCATCAAGAACCCTACTGTTTTTGAACAACTCCTTTCTTTCTGTTATACGGGGCGAATATGCCTACAACTGGCAGATATCATCAGTTACCTGACAGCTGCCAGTTTTCTGCAGATGCAACATATCATAGACAAATGTACACAAATACTGGAGGGCATTCATTTCAAAATAAACGTGGCTGGGGTTGAAGCTGAATTAAGCCAAACAAGGACAAAGCATCCAGAGAGACCTCCAGAGTCGCACAGGGTTACCCCAAATCTAAACCTCCCCCTTAGCCCCCGACATAATGCCCCAAAGGGAAACCGACGAGGTCAGGTAAGTGCTGTGCTGGATATCAGGGAGCTCAGCCCTCCTGAGGAGTCCACCAGCCCTCAGATAATTGAACCGAGTTCGGATGTAGAGAGCCGGGAACCCATTCTTCGCATCAACCGAGCAGGACAGTGGTATGTGGAAACAGGAGTAGCAGACCGAGGAGCCCGGAGCGATGATGAAGTTAGGGTTCTTGGAGCAGTACACATTAAAACTGAAAATCTGGAGGAGTGGCTCGGGCCGGAGAATCAGCCTTCTGGAGAAGATGGCAGTAGTGCAGAGGAAGTCACAGCCATGGTGATTGACACCACAGGCCATGGTTCTGTAGGACAAGAGAATTATACTTTAGTGTCTTCAGGAGCTAAGGTGGCTCGGCCAACCAGCAGCGAAATTGACAGGTAAGCTTTGGTTGGTTTGCCCATCTAACAGCTATTAGTGCAGACATCACTGAAGCGGGCTCTCTGAACAGAGAGCATCTGCATCTTCCTCCCTTGATGTTCTTAGCCAAAATAACTTGATGTTGTGGAAACTAGAGGTGTACCAAAAGACTTGCATGCTTGTTCTTATAAAGCAGGAAGCTCCTAGTCCTGAAGTTTTCAGTGTTAAGAGAGCTATGGTAAAGTTAGACACGTCCATGAATACCTAATAGCATCTGGAGCCACAGCAGGTTCAGTAAGTGCTGGGGCTTCCTTGGAAATCCAGCCAGGGAGCTGATCATTAGCTGGGCACCTGGCAGTGTTGCCCTCCCTTGTGTGTTACCACCCGGGTAGACAGCCCCAGGGAGGGTCACCTTCCTTCCCAGCACTGTGCTGCTCTTTTCCCCTGCCTGCCAAATTATACCATCAGTATTAGCAGAAGTGCGGAACCTGCAGCTGGTCCCTTTTATATTTGTATAATCACAGTAATTCCAAAGAAAAGCTTTTGGGTGTTTTTCATTCCTTTTTGTCACTTGTCATTTAGTGCTATCCTCCCTTTTTCTTCCAGTGAAGACTGCTGCCACCTCCAGCCTGAGGGTCTCTTTTTCAGCAGTGCTACCTTATGCCTCACTTTTTCTAGTACATCGGGGTTGTTAGAACATTTCCTATTTGGTGGAAATAGCAGTAGTTTTAATGTAAAATCAAAGAGGTTTTAACTGAAAGAAGGAAATGTTACCAACTTAGATTAGTAATAGTTGTTCTTTTTCTCTCTTAATAATAAATTAGAACTGACTGCATGAATGATGAAAACTTAAAGAAACTGTTACTTTGGTTCACTACATCTAGTCATGAGAGACATGTGTCACAGAAATTCAGAGTATATGCTTATACTTCACGTGGACTCCATTGGAGTATTTTCCTTCTTGTGTCCTTAATAGTTAAAGTGGTCTTGAACACAGTATTTACTGTCCCCCTGTGTTAGCACTGTTGACTCCTGTGTTAGAACTATATCAGAAGTAACGCTTATGCAAAGATTTCTGATCTCTATGATCCATACCAGTAGTTGAAATATATAACAAGTTACCATGAGGCCTAGAGTAAGACCAGAAGCCTAACAGTTACATAGAAGGATCAAAACCACAGACCCGGTTTTAATTTATTCTTTTATGGTCTCCTAGTACTTACCTTAGGATAGAAGCTTATAGTCAGCCTTAGCTTCACCAAGTCATCTGGTGTATTTGCTATGTCATTTTGTACTTCCTTAATTTACTAGGGCAAATCTGCCCTATTTCAAATCAGATCCTATATGGACACCTGGAAGCTATTTCTTAATCTCTTGTTTGTCCCTCCTTCCTCAGCCATAGGATAAGAAGGGTACCGTCACCATTCTTTAAGTTACTTGACACTGCCTTTCTGTTTGTCCCCTTTCTGCTCCTCTTCCGATAGATTTAGCCCCTCGGGCAGTGTTGTTCCCCTGACGGAGAGACACAGAGCCAGAAGCGAGTCTCCCGGCAGAATGGATGAGCCTAAACAGCCCAGCTCCCAGGTATATAACTGGATTTAGGGTTACTGCGGTGGTTGGACAAATTGCCCTGTGTGTGAACAGAATACAGTGAATAAGAAAGGAAAGATGGAGAAGGGATAACAGTGGCCCTGTTACATAAATACTGTATTTGATTACTTTTTTGTTTGTTCTTGCTTGTGAGCATGCAGGAAATACACTTTGACTGTCAGCAGTTTGGGAAGTAGAAAAAGATAAGATTGTACAACTCCTTCCTGATTATAGGAACCAGTCAATAGTCCTCAGAGTATTAAAAATAATCCCAAAACTACATGCAGATAATTTAGGACCTGAGATGGAGAGTCTGATTGTGTACTTGTGTGGGTATAACTCTCCATAATTAGTCATTTATATGATATATATTTGTGAACAAACTGGTTATGCTTTTTTGTGTGTGTTTGCTTTTTCTGTATACTTGCATCTTTTCATGTATTCTCTTCCTGGATCTTTTTTTACACTACAGTGTTCTAGAAAGGATAGGAATGATGTCTTTTCTTTGCAACTCTCCCTAGCAAGTAGTTCAAGTAGTTGTTGGTATTTTTTTTCTCACAGGTTTCTATCATTGAAGGGTGAGTTTTAAAAAGATGGTGAACTAACCAAGTAGAACGCAATAAATTGTCAACACTTTTGACCTTTAAAAGGGAACACTGTTGGATTAAGATTACATAGCTAATTTTTTTAGCTTCTGCATTTACTGATAGTATCTTGTTTAATTTTTATCTAAACCATTGGTTGTTTATTGTATACATGGTCTAATAACAGCAAGATAATTCTTACAAAGTCAATGTACTTGCATATTTTCATGCCAAAAGGAACTGTAACTAATACAAGATAATTTTTTAGTTTTAATAAAGATGTTAGAGAAAATGTTAGGAGCTTGGAGGAAAAGTAAATTTGCTCACATAATTAGGGTGGTTTTCATCTCATCACTCAAATAGGATGTGATGACATATGAAGGTGACTGTATGCAAATAAATACATCAGTGAGACTTTACAACCTAATGGGGGGATAAGACAGACTGACAGATGCACAAAACACATGTAGATAAGACTCCATAAACTTCCATAAGAGTATCGTGGGAATAGGAGTGCCTAAAAGGCAGTTATTGGAACCAATATCCACTTATGGAAAGTGTTACTCAGGAAATTTAAATGCAGTTTTTAAAGAAGTAGTTAGAGCTAACTTACTCCATATGTAAATAAGATAGGGATAAAAACTAGAATTCTACAAGGATGTTTACCTGACTGAAGCAGAAGGTACAGGCTCTAAAGAAATAGGAAGGAAGTAATACTGTCTGGTGCTAAAGAGATGAGTTAATAAATGCCTTAACATGCATGAAACTTGTTATGGTGACCAGAGCGAGATGGGCTTATGTTACAGTAAGAACAAATCTTGATAGATCTGAAGTAGATTTACTTTTATGATAGTGATTAAACAGAGCAGACTGCTGAGGTCACCTCTACTCAAAACCTTGAAGCTTTTTCCTTTTTCTACCACATAATGTTTAAAATACTTGGCCTAGTTTTCCAAGTAATTAGAATGTTTCTAACCCAGCTTTTCCCACTACTCATCAGCATTCGTCCCAAAAGGCAGACTTTTCTCAGACCTACTTTAAACTTATTCCTGTCTCTGCACCTTGAGTCTGGGATGCCCTGTTCTTCCCAGGTATCTGGGTTCCCCCAAGGCCAACTCCCAATTGCTCTAATTAGCCCGGTCCTTTTTGATCTCTCCTTAAACCACTATAGCATTTACAGAAGGTACGATATGATTTTTCCTAATCCTCTACTAAATTATATAAATTAGTATTTTCAAATTTGCATTAATTCTGTGTCACCTTCTAGATTGAAACCCTGAGAGCATTTTCTAATCTCTATATCTGACATTGTCTCAATCAGATGCCTGAAAGGTAGTTGTTGTTTTACCACTAAGTAGTTGTGAGTTAACATTATCTAGTAGATGCCCCAATAAATAGAGCCACCTACTAAATAGGAGATTATTTGGTTGCTTGTGAAATTCCCAGTTTTGGAACTCTTTAAGTAGAACTAATGAACCAAATCAGATGGTTTTCTGAGTCCCTTCAATTCTGAGTCTCTTATTAATAATTGAAGATTAGGCTGGTGGATGGCTTTGAAGGTTATGTCAAGATTCTAGACTGGTTTTTGTTTTAGAAAATGTGGAAATCATTTATGTGGAATTTAGTCATTATGTGGAATAATTCATTTTTTTACAACAGTTAACTGAACACCTACTACATACCAGGCATTGGTCAAGTTCTGGGATATTCTGCAATGCAGAATGGCCTGGTGATAACAGAGTTTACAACTTAATAAGGAACTGCCAGGTTAGAGGAGTGAAATGCTCTCTCTCTTAGTGACAGAGGGAGCCAGCAGGCAGCCATTTTTGTCCTTGCTTCTTTTTAAAGTTCAAAGGAATTTTTTGTTGCCTTTGACAAAGACCTAATCTACATTTTTACTCATTTGCCCTTGTATTACAACCTTGCTGCAGTAATTTTTTTAGGTGAGATTATCATATATGTCTGAATTTTGTGATTACAGCTTATAACATATATATACATTTACTTTCTGCTTGTGGACAATACTGGTATTCTCAAGATGCAATATGAATGATACTGTAATATATTAACATGTAATTCTATGTAAGTAATACTGTAATATTATAGTGTTTAATAATAGTTAACACTTATTTAGCTACATTAAGCCCTTTATTGTATTGTTATTCAGGGTTCCTAGCATTCTATGAGGTGGATGTTATATTCATTTTTTAGATGAAGAGATCGACACATAGAGTAGTTAAATAACTTGCTCAAGGTCAAACAGTAAGTATGAAGATTTGAACTCCGGTTCCAGCAAACTTTAGTGCTATACAATATAACATGCCTTCAAAATATTTCAAGGTACTGTTACATGTTTAAATTTCATAAGGATCCAATAAAGCCGGCAAAGCATATGCTTATCTTTTCATTTTATTGATGGGAAGACTAAGCCTCAGAGAAGTTATTCTATGCTTTGTCCATGGTCACCCAGGACTGTTAGTGGGATAATCCCTTGTTATTTATGTGAGTTCAGTTTTGATTATCTGGAGAAACAGAGCAGAAAGAAATGCTATGTAAAACAAATCAGAAATCATCTAAAACCTCAGTCTTACTATTTGTTCAATACTTGACTTCACATACTGCTTCTCAAACCTGATGAGAACTGCCTCTGTTCTGTTGAAAATGTTGAAGAGCATTGTCAAAGGAGACAAAACACATTTTTAGAAATTCAAGAAGAGGACACAAGATTAATTGCTAAATAGGTGAATCTTTCTCCATTGAATCCAGAGTCAACTTTCACATTTTCTTCTCTTACATTGGTACTCTAGTCTCTACTAAACATATGCAGTTCCCTTCTGCATATTTAAAATGCTAATATATATAAGTTTTTTATTCAAAACATTACATATGTAACATACAGAAGATGACTTTAGAAGTCAGCAGGCTAAAAAAATCGTTAGTTGCTGAATGGTGATATTTTAATATGAGATTTGGGGTGGAAAGCATTTATAAAGCCAGGATTTTTAAATTATTCATTCAAAGGAATATATTGTTCCTACTCCCTCCCAGCTTTCAGATAGGAGGAACCCATGTTTATTTCATATATTAAATACTTTGACTACTTAGATTGTTATTGTTCAGATTAGGTAAAACAAAATTAAGATCTCAATTGATATTAAGGAAAAACTTGTTACTTTTTTCAGTGTGATAATGATATTTTGATTATGTTAAGGCAAAGACTCCTTGTTTTTTGGAGGTACATACTAGAATATTTATGGATGAAATTATGTCTGGGATTTTATTAAAAAATACAAGAAGGGAGAGAAATAGGTGAAGATAAAAAATGAAATTGTCCCTGGGTTGATAATTGTTGGGTGATGGGAATACAACCTAGTATTCTGTCAAAAATTTTTAATAAAAAGTTAAAAATATATAGCATTTGATCTTTATAAAAAAAGTAAATCATAGAGAACTAGAAAGCATTTATTTTGCAGTAACCTAAAGGGTTAGTTATCTAATTAACAGCAGAGTTCTAATGATCATTTTATAATAATTGCTTTTTTTAATGTCTTAAGTAAATTTATTATCACAGCATAAGAAATTTAATTTAGGGGGGAGATACCTTTTGAACTAAGATTGGAGAAAGAATATGTAAGCCACAGATTATTCTCATTTTAATCATCTGCTTAAATCAATTCAAAACTGTTACAAATAATAAGTATAAAAATAAGATGATAATATGTTTCCCCTGTTGCTCTTTGTTTTGTCTGTTTTTTGTTCAAAAGTTTTATCTTTTTCAGAGGGCAGAATCAGAAACCAAGTTTTGCACTTCATTCTCTGTAGTACCTGTCATTGTATTTGGTGGCCTATAGTCACTTAGTAAATACTTACTGAGAATCAGTTTGTGAAAAGGTTATAGGAAGAAATAACCAAGTTAGTAAATTCATATCTCAATCTAATTTCCTTACCCAGCTCTTCTATAAGTTTGCTCTAAGGTCATTTAACCTTTGAGTAGTCTTCAGAATGAAGATAATCTGTTGATATGGTACAAAAATATTTTTGGGTAAAAGGAATACTGTTAACCTACAAATTGAATACATTTTAGTAAAGCTAGTTATTGATTTAATTTTGGTATTAATGATAATGCCATAAATATAATTTATAATGTGCTCGCCATAATGTATTCTGTATCGCAAAGTATAGTAGCCATTAGCTGCATCACATGTGGCTATTTGAATTTAAGTTTTAATTAATGGAAAGGAATAAAATAAAAAATTCATTTCCTTAGTCACACTAGCTGTATTGCAAATGCTTAATAGTCCCATGTGGCCAATGGCTACTGTGTTAGTGGTGCAAATTATTGAACATTTCACCATCACAGAAAGTTCTTTTGAACTAGCACTGCCTGAGCACCTACCTGATTCTCTAGAATATAATTGCAAATTAGTGTCCAAGAGGATGGTATGAGTGGGCTCAGATTCTCCTCTTACTATAAAGTAGAACATTCATCAAGGGTTTATTTAATAAGCATGCAGTTTGTTAGCCACAGAGTAACTTAACTGTCTTCTCTTTTATGGTAACACGGAACAGAATATCAGATTTTTTAGAAATTATTTTGTTAACACCTTACTTTTTGGTAATAATTTCCTATTTGGATGTCTACTAAAAATACGTGTGTAGCTTAGTAACAGAGGCTAAAACTGATTTGATTTCTTTTACTATATGTACTTAATAGTATCTGTTCTTTCTTGCTCTCTTGCCTCCCCTGGCACAGGTAGAGGAATCAGCAGTGATGGGAGTGAGTGGCTATGTAGAGTATCTCCGAGAGCAGGAAGTATCTGAGCGCTGGTTCCGGTACAACCCCCGCCTCACCTGCATCTACTGTGCCAAATCTTTCAACCAGAAGGGGAGCCTGGACCGCCACATGCGCCTGCACATGGGGATCACTCCATTCGTGTGCCGCATGTGTGGCAAGAAGTACACCCGGAAAGATCAGCTGGAGTATCACATCCGCAAGCACACAGGCAACAAGCCCTTCCACTGCCACGTGTGTGGCAAGAGTTTCCCCTTCCAGGCCATCTTGAATCAACACTTCCGCAAAAACCACCCTGGTTGTATACCCCTGGAGGGGCCTCATAGCATCTCCCCAGAAACGACTGTCACATCGCGAGGACAAGCTGATGAGGAGTCACCCTCACAGGAGGAGACAGTTGCTCCTGGGGAGGCCGCCCAGGGCTCTGTGTCCACCACTGGGCCAGACTGAAACATGGAGAGGGAGGGGGCAGACCCTCTTCCCCTTTGGGCCATAAGCAGCCAGCATCAGGGCCACAGGCTGCTACTTAGATTCACAAAATGCCACGTCACTAGATGGGAAGATGCTCCCAAGGTGTTGCCAAACTAGAGGATCAGCAGCATACACAAAATCCCTGGAGGCTTTTTCCCTCCTCCTTCCCACCTCACACTTTGGAAAATAACCAAGCAAATCAACTTTCTAATTCAGGGATCAACAGCCTTGGTTTGTTAACTTTCTCAGAAAACATTTTTTTAACAAGATGATAAATGGTCATTTACTGCCAGTCATATTTGAACACCGTACCTTGGTCCATATCATTCTGGTGGCTGTAACTGCCCAGATCTGAGAAACGCAGCAGGAACCTCAGTCATCTCACTAGCCAGCCGCAAGAGAGGGGAGGACGCGTGCTGGGGCTGAGGAGGAGGAGTTGCTCCTCTCCCTTCTGGGCCGAAACAGGCAGGTGCACATCTCAAGAAAAAAAAAGAATCCCAAAGTTCCTACTGTTTGAAAGGTTAGACCTTCTGTTTGCCCTGGCAAGGCAGCTGATACTTCTGCCTGTTCTGTGTGGCAGCCGTTTGAGCAGTATTCTGGTGGGCAGTGCCGCCTGAGCACTTTAGGCAACTGGGAGCGAAATGAGCAACAAAATGTTGGCCATGGGTCCTGCTATACTTGGGGGCTTGAGTGTTGTGTTGAGAAAGAGGGGAGCCCGGAAGGAAGTGTTCTAGTTTTGCAAATGTCAAATAGCACAGAGCCGTACTGCAACTTCCTGATGGGTGTTTGTGAACCATAGTGCTTATGTCTCTTTGGGCGTTAGGATATGGCTCTAGTCCAGATTGTTAGGCTGACAACCAAAGTTTCATCCAGTCTCTTCGGCTCCTGGTTTCAAATAACAGCAATATTCTATATCAAAAATGTCACTTTCCGGTGAAATGACCCTGGATTATATTTTTAAATCCACAGGTCTCCATATTTGATAACTTTTATATAAAGTTTTAAACACACTTTTTCTCTCCAATATTGTGGTTGGAGAAATGGTTCTTACTACAACCACAATTTCATTTCCTTCTACATATGTAATAGTTTGTATTTTCAGTCCAGTAGAAGAACCTCACTAAATCTACGTCTTGTGTCTGCTACCCTTGTAATTTATAAACCAACCATCAGCAAATTGCTGGTAACTCCAAGAGCTTTGCTTTTTAATAGCATACTACAGGGCATTTACCCGAAAACATCATGCACAATCATGTTGCAATAAATTGATCAAGGGATCAGGTTTGGTTACTTAATCATTCCATTTAACATTTTTAAATGTTAAGGGACCTTTTTGGTAATTCTGGGTATTTTTGAGATTCTTAATCCAGCACTGAGAGAAAGAACTTAACCAAACACATAGAGCTTTAGATGCCCTGTCTTGCATTCAAAGAATGAAGGTTTATTAAGGGATGCAGGCAAGTAGATGCTTACAAGTTACAGTGCAAAGAGAAAAATCTCTATCTTCTCTTACCTGACCATTCATTTTTAAGAGTATTTTATGTAGTGGTTTAAGAAATGCTTTGTGCAGAGGCTTAAATTGTTGTAAAAGGTCTGGCAGAGGCTGGTCACACCTGTACTGGTGAGCCATTTGTGAAAATGTTAGTAGTCTGCTCTGTCACTGAGAATTCTTTGTGGTATGTGGAAAGGTAGGTAGAAAGAATGGTATTGCTTTGATGATGGGAAATTAGAATGCGAAGGGTAACTCTTAAGCGGTCTGAGAAATGTGCATATATATCCAGATACACCTTATCACTAGGGAATGGTTATCACTAGGGAATGTCTCTTCTGGAAAACATAGAAATGCGTCTTTTAATAGGAATGTAATGATGCTACCATTTGCTAAGAGCCTACCCTTAAATGGACTGTTGAAACTGTTGTTTTGTCTTTAGAAGACACAGATGGGGGCATTCTCTTCTTTAGTTGGGCTACAGCGTGATAGGGTACAAACTGTCATCTTGGGCCGTCTTAAGGACCAGCTGTCCTCTGTACAGAGAAAAAGTGGAGTTGAAATTAGACTAAAGTTTTTAGGGAAACATTTTAGTTGATAATCAAGGCTTTCAATGGACAGATTTTGCCATTACTAAATAGGGAGGTGAGAAGTAAGGAATATGCTGCTTTCAATGGAGCTTTTAAGCCTACCAAAAAAACTAAATCCCTCCTACCTGTGAGAAGTAATATGCTAGGAAGTTCTTTATTGCTTTGTTAGTCTCTTAGATTTTCTGTGAGAAAAATAGAGCTTTTAAAATGATTACCAAATTGTAAAGGTGCAGTGCAGTGATTTCAGTAAGAAACCTTGCAGCATTTGTCAGAGCTCCATCCAAGGTTGGCAACAGATGATTGGAGTGAAGTGGGAACTGTCTAATAGATGTGGAAATGCTGTGAGTGTTTGATGGGTTCCCCTCCTTCTTCATCCACTTATAACAGGTTTTTGCTGTATGATACTATGAATAGAAGGCTACCTGGTTGTTCAGGACCACATCAGCAAAATCATGTTTGCTGCTTCTCCTCTTACTTGGCCAGGCCCAGAGCCATGAAATTCATGAAAATTCAAGCCAGGCTCGCTTTTAAACAAAGTTTCTGAAAATTATTTCCCCATTTTAGTTAGAAGAGAGAATATTATTCTAAGTAATTATCCAAGATTCTCACCCAGGTTCACTGTGACGTCCTAGTTCTTAGCTAACATCACTGTAGGGTCAAAGGAGTTAGTAGTAGTCTGTCTACATTAATCAATAGCTATATTGGTGTGTGCACAGAGGATACCTCTCTTAAGGATGTAGTAAACGGACCTTAGCTAATGCTGAAAAACTCATTACCAAATCTTGCACATGTCACCTTGTGAGAGGAACTGCATCAGCAAAGAGACCTACATCATCATTAAGTACTTTAATGCCGTGAAATAGCGAACACTGGGACTGTCATTCACTGAGTGCACTTAATAGCAAAAGAGCTACCCAATATTCTCAGCAAAAGAAGAGAGATGGCAATATATTAATCTACTTCCCTTTGGAGAGGTACCTTCTATTCTCTCTGAACTCTGATTCCAGTATAAAATACAGCATTGGCATGAACAGTAACACTGTGTTTAGGCAGAAAGGCTCTTTCTAATGACTTGTTCTCTCTTTACTCAAAACCATATTTACCTCTGAACTGAGTTGAGTTTTATTTTGTGGAAGTTGCAAACTACCCCCAAGTCATTTCATTATACCAGAGGGTTAAATCTATAATTGAATATGTAAAAAATAAATTAGTTCCTAATGTATGGAGATTGGAAAGAAAGGAGATGGCAGTTAAGGAAAGTTTTCCTCTAGTCTTGTTTTTTGGTATTGTTAAATGTTTCTAGCTCCCTCTACATCAGTGAAATAAGGTATTCCAAAGTTGGAATGACAATAGAAATAAACCATTTTCATCCTAACTTCATATGTAAAGCCATGAAATCTAGTTTAGGTTGGAAGTGGTCCAATAGGAGAGTGAAATAGTGAACTTCATCCTTAATAGCTGAGTAGTCCTTAATAATCTTTTAAAATGGTTAGCTGTTATTTGACACTAGTTTCTTTTAACTGGTAAAAACTACATTTTGTTTGACTAGAAGATCTATAATTTAAAGAAATGAAAGCAGTGGGTAATGGAAAGGAAATTAAATTGAACAAAGACAAAAGTTGTCTTAATTATAGTGGAAAGGCATTTAATCAGGAAGGAGTTAGAATCCTGGAAGCCTTTTTTTTTTTTTTTTTCCAGGTACAACAGACCATGTGTTTTTTTTCTTCTTCATCAGACATCCTTCTCCTTATCTGTGTACTTATTCATTCAAGGAATAGCAGATGAGTCTTCCTTGACTCAGTCTTTGAAAATGGAGCTCTTTACTTATGCCATATGGGAAAGAGTGCAAATATTGAAGTATTTTGGTTGATGTGACAAGCAATTAGTCGGGTAAATCTCTAAATTTGAGAGACCCTTTAGCAAAATATATCCCTAGGACTTAGCAATTAGATGAGGGTCCAACGATCTACAGCCCCTGGGCAAAATCCTAAGGTCCCCTGTTTGTGTAAAAAAAGTGATAGTGGAATAGAGCCACACCTATTTGTTTAGGGATTGTTTATGGCTACTTTCTATATTGACAAAGCTGAGTACTTATGACAGAGACACAAGGTCTGCAAAGCCTGAAAATATTTACTGTCTGGCACTTGACAGAAAAGTCTGTAACTCCATAATTAGACTTAAAAGAATTATACCACCCACCCCTGTTTGCAACCCCTGCCATTTTGCCTTTATAGGAGTTAGCTGAGGTTTTAAGCTCACATTGCTATGTCTGCATCAGTTTCTTGAAAGAGTGTACCATCTTTTTCTAGATCCTTTTCTCACAGCCCTTTTTGTGCACCTTCTAATGATTCCAATTGCTTCGAAAGCACTTAAAATAGGTCTTAATATTTGTCCATGTCTTAAAGGTGCAGGTAAATTAAAGTTTAGGATGGTAGTTATAGATATAAGGTAATTAAAAAAAAACAATTCCCAAGCATAATAATATAGGGTTAAATGAGTACCATGTTTACATAAAATACTGTAAAATATTAATGTTTTTGTAAGTAAGTTTTGCCATTCAAGTTAACTTTAACTGGTTTGCATAATGATGGCAAGAATGAACTTATTTTCACTAGTTTTAAAAATTGTTAAAAACAAGTGATTTGATTCTTTCCTAAGTACAATATTGCTCTTCTAGATTAAAAACCTCTATCCCTTCCCTGTGCTATAAGTCTTCATTATAATTTCTTCATGTAAACTCACTCTTCCATGTGGATTAGTAAAAAGCCAAATCTTCCTTCCATTTTTTTTCAAATGAATGTTTTAAAACAAACTTCTGAGGCTTTCAAATTCTTCTTAGACTTGTCTTCATTTCCTGTTACCATCTGTAATTCTTCTCCATATTATATTGGGCCATCATAACTTTGCTTTGTGAATGTTCATTCATACCATTTTATTAGCTTATTTATGCCAGACATAGAAAAAATGAAAAATGTTAGGATGATTACAAAGAGAATTCCCTGCAAAAGGAGAATGTAAGTGCTCCCTGTTTGTAAACAAACATGGATTTGTGAGTTAAATGTATTTACCTGGATAATGTTCCAGGTTGTACTGATACAGTACAGTGAGTTTGATTCCTTGTGGTGAGCTCCAGTACAGGCAAAGCCTGGGCATGTGACCTACCTAGCCTCCTGTAAGGCACTCTTCACCGGGCATTTTATTCTTAGAGTTGCCTTTTTCTTAGTT